CACAGTCAAGATCTGATGCTGCGATTGCTTGCCGGTGTACAATGTCTCCAAAGGAGATAAGGGGCAGATTTAGTTAGTGGCGAATCATATTCGCCACGTCGCAGTGTTGTTAAACGGATATATGGCTTTTTATAGGGAGAACGCTTGCCAGGCAGCAAAAACCCACCACGTCCTGGAACACTGTTGCCGAACCATCACCAGAACGCGAATTTCCCGAACCGCCCAGTTGGCACCACGAGGAGGATATTGTGCGAGAGCCAGGTGGAAAACACAGCTATTGTGCAGCAATACAAAAGACAAGAAAAGGAAAACAGTGGCACGCCCGCTGAGTCCCCAGTAACGGATGGACATAGTTCCGGAGAGCTAACAACTGGCTGCCGTAAAAGAGAGTCATATTATACCTAACAAGTGAGATCGTGATTGGAGGGGGGTGGACAAAGGAACTCACGACACAAACGCCATTGGGGCCGGCTCCTAGCCATATCAGCAAGTGTGTCCGATCAGACGTGTTCACCGTCCTTAGGACCCCAGCCAGGCAGTCGGAATGCACCAACCGACGCCAACTTCGAAGTGAGGATTTTCATTTCTCTCGACCAAGTCATCGCTTGGCCTCCCTTCCTCTTCTTCCAACCGCACCCACAACGCGCAAACAATGCACGTCGTGGGAGTCGGTGTGCTGGCATGCGCAACACATGGCCCAGCCATCGGAGCCTGGTGCGTGATATAATGGTGCTGAGCGGTTCACTCGCTCTTCCTGCACCAAACACATCATACCGAACACGATCGTTGCTCACGCGGTGTTCCCACCAGACATGAGCTATGCTGCGAAGGCAGCGATGATCGAGTGTGACGAGCCTCTTCATGTCTGTCGACCTGATGGACCAGGTTTCACAGCCAGGAAAGGGGAAAGATTTCGTGTTGCCACCCAAGAGCGCAAAGTTGCCGCTCAAACCCCTTAACCGTAGACTCCCTGATAACACTTTCTGGAAGCATGTTCCAGTGCAAGATGACTCGGCGTGACAGCCGGATTTCCGCCCTAATCCGATCGGACCGCGGTTTGTCCAGCTTCATGGAATGACCAAGTAGAACAGACAATCTAGCGGGACTGAATAGCCAAGATAACTCTGGATCAACTTTCCCATTTAAGTTACGGTAGGTTAGGATTAGGTTTCTTCTAAGCCTTCAGTACTGCATTGAATGCATTCTCAAACTAAGTAGATGCTCGGGATAAGTCCGTCCCCGTAATCCCTCAACTAAGCTATTACCCACTCGTAAAACCTTCCTAGCTCCATTTTGTCCCGGACGAGGCAGGGCGGACAAGCCTGGACACAGTATTTTAGATAAGGCCGAACGAAAGCCGAGAACAGTCTCGTAAAGATGCCGCCCGTCAAGATAATTGATTACTGGTTGGAAGCAGCAAGCAGAGTTTACTCCGTGTAGCTGCATCTAATGTCACCCAGGGACGAAGACGCGTTACGTTGTGTTGCGCACAATTTACTTTGCATCGGCAGTGTTTGTCAAGGAACTGCTTAAATGCCGACACCGACTGCCTCAACTCTGCGTTCGAAAAGGAGTTGGTGAGCGACCCGCTTCAAATCCGGTACGACAAGCTTGTACCGATGTCCTTGTGTGCTGCTTGATGTGCGCAGATGAAGCAGCGGTCTCAACATAGAGTAATCACTCCGATGTAATGATGAGGTTAACCCTCAGTCGACGATAAGCTATGGTGTACAGCCCTAGTTGCTTACATCGGTCTTCGTACGGTACACCTCGTAAGTTGGGAATCAGCCTGGTGGCTACATGCTGCACTCGCTCAAGCTTTTCTACCTCGTCGCGGGTGATAGGACAGTACGCGGCAGCCATATTCTAGCACTGGTCGTATTATTGAGACGAAGAGGCGAGTGGCAATCTCTTCGGACCAAGTGCTGAAGCTGCGCCTCAGTGCCCAAAGCATACGAAGGCTGTTTTGGTAAAGCCTACTCGTGTTGTACATGGACTTTAGGTCGCAACGTGAGAGTACACCGAGGTCGCGCACGAAAGGCGCGGGATGCAACGGTTGATCAGCCATCGTGTAGGTTGGACTGTGCCCACACTTACCCAGCCTCATGAATTGCGACTTGACCGGGTTGATCGGAAGGTTGACCTCTGTAGACCACGTGGAGAGGCGGTCGAGGTCCTGCTGAAGCAGGTCACAATCATTGGGTGTGCGGACTACTACCCACACCTTCAAGTCATCTACGAACAACGCACAAGGTGATTGGAGTAGCTGAGGCACACCGTTTACATGGATGAGAAACAAAATCGGCCCTGGCACAGTGCCTTGGGGCACACCACTGCTCGATGGATACCAGACGGTCAAATGTTTGTCGACCTGGACCCTCCACTTTCGATCAACAAGGAAATTCCTGATCCATCGGTGCAGTGAGCCACCAACACCGCACACCCTCAGCCTGTCGAGGAGCACTGCATGATTCATCTTGTCAAAAGCGCTATGAGATCAATGTAAATGACGTCGACAGACTTGCCTTGGTTCAGCGCTTGCAACCATTCGTGTCCCGTCAACTGTAGATTGGTGACGCACGAGCGACCATTCATGAAACCATGCTGTGCGTGCGTCAAGAGGCTTTTCGACTCAAGTAGCTGCAGAAGACTCTTCTTCATGATCTCAAGCGTCTTTGCCAAAACAGCGGTCAGGCAGGTCGGCCGGTAGTCATCCATTTTGCTTGGGTTACCACATATTGGTATCGGCTTTGCGACTGAGCATTTCCAGTCGCCCGGTAACAGACCAGTGTATAGTGACCTGTTGAACAGTTTAGTTACAGAAGGCGAGATGATGGCTGACAGGGACTTGATGATCAGTGGGTGGATTCCATCTGGCCCAGCAGGCTTCGTCCCGTCAAAAGTTGCCAGAAGCTTGCGTACATCTTAAATGCTGCAATCCAGGCTGTATAGTTCAGCGGGAGCGGTACTCGTCGGACTTGTTACAAACACCTAATCACATGCAAATACGGAGGCGAAATGTGCCGCCAATGCAGACGCACGATCTGTGCTCGAGGTTAAGGGCTCTCCATCTGAGCCTTCCAAAACTGGAACATTGCCTGCAGGTCTCAGGCGCCGCTTCACGTGGGCGAAGATCCTCTTGGGAGCAGTTTTTGTGGCGCTTGCAAGCTGCTCTTCGAAGCTACTGCGTTTTTTTGTTTCCGCGTTGTTGCAAAGATTTCGCTGTACCTTGTGCGCCTTGTAGTCCTCACCAGAGCCAGATAACACCAATTTGTTCCATAGTCTGCGTCGTCGTCGGACAGTTTGCTGTACTCCTGTGTCCCATGTGTATACAAGGCCACAGTGAGGGCCGTTCTGCTCTATGGTAGTGAGACTTGGCCCCTTCGGTCTGAAGATCTGAGGCGCCTTCAAGTCTTTGATCATCGTTGTTTGCGAAGCATTGCTGGTGTCGGGTGGCACCAGCGTGTCCGCAACGATGATGTGCGTACGCGAGTACTAGGTGGTGATAATCATGCTAGCTCCCTAGAACAACAGATAACACGGAATAAGTTGCGTTGGCTCGGACACGTGCCACGCATGCCTGGTCACCGCTTACCTAGGAGGGCCTTGTTCAGTCTACCAGGTGTAGGATGGCGCAAGGCTCGAGGTGGACAGAAGTTGACTTGGCAGCGGGAAATGAAGTCACTGATGACCAAACTGGGTGCCGTTGGTCCGTCTCGCCTTCCGGGTTGGAGTCCACGTGACTCACCTTGCGCTTGGCTCGAGACTTTACAGGACATGGCTCGCAACCGACACCAGTGGCGCGTCTGCTGCCGTCTCCTAATCGGATTGTCTGTTTAAAGTGCGTTTGGTGCTGAGTTATCTGCGGGGTAATGGCTGATTATGACGCGTGGCAGTGAAAGTCGCAAGGAAGCTGTCTTACCGATGCCACCTTATGTTTGCACGGTAGTCAGCTGTTTGTGACGGTATGTTGTCTACACAAGGTGTAGGCGCCTTGACCCTGGATGTTTGCTTAGGGCATTAAGGTTTTCAGGCAAGTCCCCCTTCTCTCCCTCTTCTTATTCTTAATTTCATAGGTGCTCATGGTTGTATGGCAGCGAAGCATCAGTTCAAATGGCTGATGTACTGCTGTTGATGATGATGATGACTCCTTCTCGTACCAATGTGGTTTGACTGAGAGGTACAAATAGGGCGCACAACGATTTCACTCCCTCTTTAATGATAGTCCAACAGATATCAATAGACGAATCCTCTGGTAAAGACCAGCCCATCTGGCTCGCTGCTCGGGTGAAGCCATTGCAGTCGGCCTTCCAATAGTTGAAGGCTGGCTCCAGCGGAGGAGAATACGGCAGCGGCAGTTCCAAGCTGGCTATGATCATCGAGTGGTCACTCGCTCCCAGAGGCTTTACGACTTGAATGTCATGCACACGTTGCTCACACTTGGTCAAAAACAGGTCTAAGCACGATGGAGTCGCGCGCGCAGTTATGCCTGTCGGTTGATTGGTGTGTTGTGTGGCCCCGGTTTTAAATATCAACTCTCGACTTCACAATGGCAGGGGAGAAGTTCAGCCTCAGGCCACTGTATTCGGGGTAAGCTGAAATCGTAAATGAGTAGGAACAGCTGACGACTCATGTGATTGCGGATATGCGGCAACCAGTCGAAGCAGCGGCTCAGTGGACTGCGATATACCACGCCTACGAGCATCTCGCAGCGTCTGAGGTGGATCGAACACCATAACTGCTCACATAGACCATCAGCGCTTCGGTAGACGCTCACTAGTCTCCCACACAAAGAAGACTTTATGTAAAGTAGAACGCCACCGCGATCATTTGATGGTCTATCACAGCGGAAGTATGAGTAGCCGCTGATTTCCACTCATTGGGCGGTTACGTCGGAGTTTAACCATGTCTCAGCAAGGCCTAATACGTCTGGTCGCCGAGAGGTTACAAAGTAGTACAGCCCATCGCGCTTGTCCACCAGACTGCAGTAAAAGCTACGCGCAGGCCGCGGTAGGAACCGCTGGGCACGCATGAAGCATCAGAAACCTGCTGATTTGGATTCGCGGAGGAATCCGGGTACCTACTCGAAAATTTACAATACGGTGATTTGTTTCTGCATCGTCCGTGCGTCGCTTTAATCCAAGCATCGCAGACTTGAGTTTCTCTCTATCTGCTGGGTCTAAGTCAGCACGCACGTGGATCTTTAGACCTTTCAGCCTAATAAGGCGGGACACTATTAACTTAGGACTTGTCTCTTCGACAAAAGTCACCCTCATACGTCGACTTCTGCCCTCGGTTCTCTTTCCTAGACGAGCGATCTGTTTCATTTTCATACCGAAAGAACGACGTATTAACCATAACATGCGGAAACCTCTGCTTGCGGCCTTCTTCCAGTTGTTGCTGGAGTGTAAAGTGGGTGTAAAAAGCTTAGATCCAATTCGAAGAACGGAGCACTTTGCCTGATTTATGGACAGTAACCATAAAGTAGACCAGTTCCACAGCTCATCCAAGGCTCGCTGATTAGTTTCGGAACCCCCAGAAACATCGACGATGTTCCACAGCTTCAGGTCATCAGCCAATAGCAGTGATAGTACCTCAAGCATCGAGGGTCATTCACAGAAATAGAGAACAGCAGTGGTCCAAGGACCGAGCCCTGCGGCACGCTACTGAGAACAGACTGCCTAAACAACAGACCACGGCCTACCCATACACCCTGTTTTCTACCATCCAAGAAGGCAGTCACCTAAGGGTACGGCCAGATACCCTGTAGGTCAGTTTTTGCGCGAGCCTCAAATGGGGTACCACCAATAGATTCGACAGACACGCCCTGTCGGCACAGGTGGACGGTCGAGTGTCTCATTTGGGAATCTTTTTGATCATTCGTAAAATAAAGACTAAATGTGAAGAAAACTGCAGTCAGTTTAGCTATAACATTGATAAGAAATGTCATACAGATAAGGTTACACGTTTAATTATCCCCACACTGAAGGTTTGTTTAATTGTACCAGAAAGTCATATATCGGACATTTTCTCTCCATTGCTATCGCGGTGAAAGTTTGTAGTCATGCCTCGTCGACCTCGAAGACCTTACACCTGTGGCTCTCGGTTTAACATCTATCGTCTCATGAAACATGCTTACGGTATTGTAATGCAGAATAATGCTACATTCGGTATGCAGATGTGTTCCTTTGATTAGTCTTCAGATGTTTCCCCAATCAGGTCCCGACGGGTTGCGTGCCCTTCGCTTTCCAGAAGCCTTGAAAAAGTTGCTGGTATTTCCACACAGCCGTTAATGTATTCCGTGGACATTGTTCGTTCTGGTTCACTTGATTTACAGGCGCAATCTTTGGAATCGGTTATTGGTAAGCGAACTTTCCAAACACGTAACGTTTAAAGAATTTTCTGCGGATTTACCACCGGCGATATCAACGCCGCCGTTGTCAAGCACTACTGCAATCTGCCGCGGTATCGCGATTGATGGATATTTATCAGCTAGATAAAACTGACGCTCCAGTGCCTTCGTGCGTTGGACCCTGAATTGCCGTGCGATTCGCGCACATTGCTCGGTACACCACGTGAATGCCCGGTTACCGTTGTTAAGGGTGGCGATTACGTGCGCGTTGGACTGATTACAGGAAGACGTCGCGTGTTGCAAACCCCTGATGCTACTGTCATGTCGAAGTTGCAGCTGCAGCTGCAGCAGCATACAGATGGACTCACCCTGTTTCGCAGTTTGTGTAAACAATTGTGGTCTGCCTTGGCTAGACTCACGGATCCGCCTTCATTCGTTTTGATTGGCGGGTTGTATTTCGGCTTGTCGAAACCTGCAGATGTACATGAGTTTCTTCGACCAACCGTTGATGAGCTGAGAGATGGCATGCAGTCTGGAATCCGTATATCTCCAAAACGTCCTTTGGTGACTGCCTCGCATAATCGAGAATAAAGTATTTATTTATTTATTTATTTATACTTACCTTGAAGTGTGTGATTGCGGATGTTCATGCTCGGGCATACATCCGACAAGTAAAGCAGCATTCCGGTTACTACGCATGCGAGAAATGTACCGTTACTGGTTAGTATCCAAGTTCATTAACATTCTAATAACTTCCTATAGATAGCCTATAGATAGCCATGCCAAGGAATGATGAAGATTTCCGTCTGCGTCTTCAAAAAGAACATCACGTTGGTGATTCCACTTTGGGGCACTTCGCATTGACATGATAACCTGCATTCCTCTGGATTACACGCAAATGGTTTCTCTTGGGCTCATGAGGCGCTTGATTAATTTGTGGCGCAAAGGCCCCACATTCACCGAGGTGCGCTTGTCCGCCATGCAGATGTCGGATGTGAACATCAGGATAGATCAATGCCGCAAGTCACTGACGGTAGATTTCCCCAGAAAGTGCCGCAATTTCGTAGATGCAGATCGATGGAAAGCCACAGAATATCGGTAGTTCCTGCTGTACATTGGCCGTGTTGTGATGCATGGTATATTGCACCCTACGATGTACGAGAACTACTTGAACTTCTCCTTGGTGATGTGTTGTGCTGCAAGAAGTGGTGCGAATATTATTTCCCTCTAGCACAGTCAATGATGCGTAAGACGGTTGATCAGTTTGTTGACATATACGGTCCCCAAGCGTTCGTGTTTAACGTCCACTGCTTACTGCATTTGTGTGATGACGTGATTGAATTTGAACAACTGGACTCCTATTCCGTTTTTCTATTCGAGTCTCATCTTCACAAGTTGCGCAGTCTTTTCGTGGCCCATGTATGCCGGCGTCTCAGATGTTTCGATGATTGGTTGAGAAGGCTGCGTATTCGCAACTACCATCGGACGGATACCTTGATAACACACACAGCACTCCAGCGGCACGCCGCCCTTGTACCGTGAACCAAGTTCCCGTCAGAGGTTTCGTTGTGACAGGTGCGCATCCGGATAATGCCGTAATTGTTGGCAACAGACCGTCAGTGATTGTCGGCATCCGTAATACACTGGTGTGCGTGCAAATTTATGCGACAGTGGAGGCCTTCTTCCACAAATTTATTCCGTCTAACCATCTGCGGATATACAGATGTTCTCGATTTCATCCCAAGCAAAAGGGGATCTCCATCGATTACATACAATGTGTTTGTCATTTTCGGAAACCTAGGAGGTAAAAGTGTTCTATCCAATTGCTCATACTTGGGATGGAACAGTGGCTCGTAACGTAAGTTTCATTGCATATTAGCTGATGTCATAATGTCTTATTTCAGACTTAGGGGCTATTCTTTGGCGTGCATCTGCGTGTGTATGGTGCACGCAATACACAGAAAGTGAAATGAAGAGTGACGGGCTGCATTACTCTGCCGTACCGGTAGAGGACTGAGTGGCAATATATCTCGGAGTTCCGCAATGAAGCCTTATTTAATTCCGTGATAAGTGCCATTTACGTAGGTAATTGAAGTCACTATATGCACATATGGTCTTTAATGACCATCTGGATTTTATCGGACACTGTTATACAAATAAAAGTGATGAGATCGTCAGAAAACTGCAAACTATCGGCCCATCTGTCTGACATCGATAATTTGTAAAGTCATGGAAAACATCTTATGAGAGCCCTAGATCTTCACCTAGGGAACCTGAAAATCATCTCATGCACTCAACATGGTTTTCGGAATGCACGTTCCTGTGTCTCTAACTTGCTTGTTGCCAGTGAAAAACGTGTGAGATCGCTGGATGCCTGTACTCGTCTGGATGTCGTTGTCATCGACTTCTGTAAAGCATTTGACAAACCTCCTCATGGACGCCTTCTTCTCAAACTCCGGGAATTGGCGTTTCTGGGAAGATTCTCTTCTGAGTCGCTGACTTTCTGAATGGTAGAAGCATGCAAGTGGAAGTGAACAATACCTGCTCCAGTCCTGTTTTTATGGTCAGCAGGGTCCCACATGGCTCTGTCCTTGGTCCTGAGCTCTACAAAATCTACATCAATATTCTTCCACCCAAGCTCCAAGCTGAGTATATCATATATGCTGATGATCTGAAACTATGGCTAGGTGTCAAAGCTTTAGGATGCTGACCGCCTACAGACAACGCTGGACCGGTTGCACTGTTGGTCAATTAAGTGGCGGCTACCCATTAACCATTCTGTGTTCCCTCTTCCCAATTGGTGCGTCGGAACTATTTGGAGTTTATCCCATTGGGTGCTCTCTGCTCAGGAAGGCAATCTTGGAGAAGGACCTGGTAGTTCTTGTCCCGCCAAACCTACGCACGACTCAGGACACCGTAAAGAAAGTTTCCGCTGCTAATATGGTGTTCCTTTCTATATGAGGTGATCATTTTCCCAGATGACTTTTTGGCTGTTCTCGCATTAATAATCTGCGGACTGTAGTCATTTATATCCAATTAAACGCTGCTTTTCAGGACTGATTTTGTGCAGTATTCATATAACTGTTCGAAGTGTGTGAATGAGGAAATGCTTATTTTTGCTCATTTACCATACATGGCAATATTACGCATTACAATTTTTTTAGATGCTTCATATCATCGAGTTTCGAGACACCGCAATCGCTGTTGCCCACAGGAAGTGGATGTTGGACACCAATACAGTCCTGTGGCCAGGTTTTACTTCCAAGCAAACGGATAATTTGGTTCCGCGTATTAAAATGTCACCTTCCGCGACGAAACGCTTCGCGGTTAAATCTATCCGCTTAGCTGATATGTTATCATCTGTTATAACGATGTTTGCAGATGATTACGAAAAGGCTTCTTGGAAGATCACACCGATCCTCCCTCAACTGACGGCACCCTACCTATGGAGCGGGGTGGGAAAAGATGCCTGTAAATAAAACCTCTGTAATACCATTTTCAGGCTTCCTGTCCTGCGACCGGACTTCGAAACCCAAACGAAGGTCCACCAAGCTGCACCACATCCAGGAGCTTGGGCCATCCAGTATTCACCGCCTCCTGCGATGTTGGATTTGGAGGATGACAGCCCTCAGCGGACACTTCTGGTTGCCTTGGCAAACTTTTCCTCGATTACAAGCCCTCTCGCATCAATGTAAGATCCTTAGATACTTCATGGCGCTTTCGCTTTAACTGCCAAATTGATCTACCGCAGCACGATCATTCTGTAACGACGGGACTGCGTACGTTGCACCAGTCAATGCTGGAGATTAAGCAGTGTATGCGAAGTGTTGTGCGAAACCTGCCAGCGAAAACTCAAGAATTCGGGAGGAATTTCACGTCTTGAACTTAGAGATGTCCTCTATTCGCCTTTAGTTGTCAGCCGACGGCAATATCAGTCCATGCGCTGTACCGTTTCCGTTGAAGACGGTGGAAGAGCTGTAATCACTAGATCGACGACTAGAGAACAGCACTGCCATGGCCCAGTTGGTATGATGCCACTTATGTATGCTTTTACTTTAGAGTAACTACTTCACCATGATTGGCGGGAATACCGCTTCGCCAGCAGTGCGTAACATCATGCAGGCTGCCTGCACGGACAAGCTGGCTAACCGATTGAACTGAAGCGGCTTTTGCACAAAACACCGCTGCGGCGAAATTAGCTTACCAGGGCAATCATCGGTTAATCCCCGATATATCACCTGATCTCCATGT